AAGAGGCGTGGAGTTAAAAGATAAAGAAAACACACACAAAGTGGGAGTTGTCACAGCTGCTCTTTGCTGATGACACTGTGCTCTTGGGAGATTCTGAAGAGAAGTTGCAGAGATTGGTGGATGAATTTGGTTAGGGTGTGCAAAAGAAGAAAATTAAAGGTGAATACAGGAAAGAGTAAGGTTATGAGGATAACAAAAAGATTAGGTGATGAAAGATTGAATATCAGATTGGAGGGAGAGAGTATGGAGGAGGTGAACGTATTCAGATATTTGGGAGTGGACGTGTCAGCGGATGGGTCTATGAAAGATGAGGTGAATCATAGAATTGATGAGGGAAAAAGAGTGAGTGGTGCACTTAGGAGTCTGTGGAGACAAAGAAACTTTGTCCTTGGAGGCAAAGAGGGGAATGTATGAGAGTATAGTTTTACCAACGCTCTTATATGGGTGTGTAAGCGTGGGTGATGAATGTTGCAGCGAGGAGAAGGCTGGAGGCAGTGGAGGATGTCATGTCTGAGGGCAATGTGTGGTGTGAATATAATGCAGAGAATTCGTAGTTTGGAAGTTAGGAGGAGGTGCGGGATTACCAAAACTGTTGTCCAGAGGGCTGAGGAAGGGTTGTTGAGGTGGTTCGGACATGTAGAGAGAATGGAGCGAAACAGAATGACTTCAAGAGTGTATCAGTCTGTAGTGGAAGGAAGGCGGGGTAGGGGTCGGCCTAGGAAGGGTTGGAGGGAGGGGGTATAAAGGAGGTTTTGTGTGCGAGGGGCTTGGACTTCCAGCAGGCATGCGTGAGCGTGTTTGATAGGAGTGAATGGAGACAAATGGTTTTTAATACTTGACGTGCTGTTGGAGTGTGAGCAAAGTAACATTTATGAAGGGATTCAGGGAAACCGGCAGGCCGGACTTGAGTCCTGGAGATGGGAAAGTACAGTGCCTGCACTCTGAAGGAGGGGTGTTAATGTTGCAGTTTAAAAAACTGTAGTGTAAAGCACCCTTCTGGCAAGACAGTGATGGAGTGAATGATGGTGAAAGTTTTTCTTTTTCGGGCCACCCTGCCTTGGTGGGAATCGGCCGGTGTGATAATAAAAAAAAAAAAAAAAAGAAATATTGTGAAGTAGATTAGTCCATTTCAGACCCCCAAACATACACGTACAAACGCACTTACATAAATACACTTACATAATTTGGGGCATTCGGGGGTAATCGTTTTAAGCGGGGGGTCCCCCTTTTCAGTGGAAACCCTTTGGGTTTGAATACCCCCATCATGCAATTTTTTGGAAAAACGGGGAAGTCACCCGATCAATTTTTTTTTCCCTTCTGGAATGAACGAAAATTTTAGGAAAGCGAACTTTCCCCCCCAAAAGGGGGGTTTCCTTTGGGGAAGGGTCAGAACAAGGAAAATTTTATTTTGTGCTTTAAATTCCTTAAATTAACAATAATAATAATAATAATAATAATTTTTTATTTTTATACAGTGGACCCCCGGTTTGCGTGGGATCGGTTTTTCCATAAAAACTGGTATTTCGAAAGCTTATTCCAAAAAATTTGCCTTGGTTCCCGTTTCCCAAAAACCCGGGACGTAATCCCATTCTCCGAGAATTGTCCACATGTGGCCCGAAAAGGCCCCCGGGGTGGGCCAAAATGTTTTTCAAAACCAGCCGTTTTTGCTCGCATCTAAGGAAACATTCCCGGGCATTCCATATTTTTCACAGTGTTTTTTGGGGCTTGTTTCTGCAAAAAAGTCACCTTGGGCCCCAAAAAAGCTTCTAGTGCCAAACCCTTTGAGAAAAAGGGTGGCCCAATGATTTGTGAAAAAGAAAGAAAAAATAATTGCAAAGTAAAGGGAAAATGGAGTGCGTTTTTTTGGGCAGAGCTGGCCAAGTTTTTATACCAAAAACCCCCCAATTTAACCATCTCTTTCCCCAAAAGTGACCAGGGGGGAAAAAGGGGGGAAACAAAGGAAAACTGTTGTTGGGAAAAAAGGGGCCTGTGATTTACGAAAAAAGCGACCGCCCAAATGTCAGAAAATGTTGAGAGACTGTTTACTGGTGTGGGGAAATGAAAAAAAAAGATAGCAAAGGGGATAGCATCTCTTTAAGCGGGTCATTTGTAAAAAGCTAGGCATTTTCTTTACGATTTGGAAAAAAAAATTTTTCCTTTCAAAATAGTGGTGATGTGAGTGAATTTTAAGGGCCCGCAAAGGTTGGTTTGAAAGATTTAAGAATCGTAGTGGCATACATTGTGTGATTAGGCATGGTGAGGCTGCCAGTTCAGACCAAAAAGCAGCTGAAAAATATGTGAAGGAATTCAAGGATTACATAGACAGTGAAGACTTGAAACCTGAACAAGTGTTTAATTGCGATGAAACAGGCCTGTTTTGGAAGAAATTGCCAAGCAGGACCTACATTACTCAGGAGGAAAAGGCACTCCCAGGACATAAGCCAATGAAAGACAGGCTTACTCTTTTGATGTGTGCCAATGCTAATGGTGATTGCAAAGTGAAGCCTTTATTGGTGTATCACTCAGAAACTCCCAGAGCGTTCAGGCAAAAGAATATCCTCAAGGCTAATTTGTGTGTGCTGTGGAGGATGAACAGTAAGGCATGGGTCACTAGGGACTTTTTCTATGACTGGTTACACCATGCATTTGCCCCCAATGTGAAAAATTACCTAATTGAAAAGAAATTAGACCTTAAGTGTCTCCTGGTATTAGACAATGCCCCTGGTCATCCTACAGACTTGGCAGAGCGACTTTCTGGGGACATGAGCTTCATTAAGGTCAAGTTTTTTGCCTCCTAATACCACTCCTCTCCTGCAGCCCATGGACCAGCAGGTCATTTCCAACTTCAAGAAACTGTACACAAAAGCTATGTTTGAAAGGTGCTTTGAAGTGACCACAGACACTCTATTGACTCTAAAGGAGTTTTGGAAGGATCACTTTAATATCCTCAATTGTGTAAACCTTATAGGTAAGGCTTAGGAGGGAGTGACTTAGAGGACCTTGAACTCTGCCTGGAAAAAACTGTGGCCAGAATGTGTAGACAAAAGGGATTTCGAAGGGTTTGAGGCTAACCCTGAGAAGCCTATGCCAGTTGAGGAATCCACTGTGGCATTGGGGAAGTCCTTGGGGTTGGAGGTTAGTGGGGAGGATGTGGAAGAGTTGATGGAGGAAGACAATGACGAACTAACCGCTGATGAGCTGCTAGATCATCTTCAACAGCAAGAGGCCAGACCTGAGGAAACTGCTTCGGAGGAGGGGATGGAGAAAGTGAAGAAGTTGCCTACTTCAAAGATTAGGGAAATGTGTGCAAAGTGGCTTGAAGTGCAAAGCTTGTTTGATGAAAATCACCCTGACACAGCTACTGCAAGCCATGTTGGCAACCTGTACAATGACTGTTGTGAACCACTTTAGGAAAGTCATATAGGAACGAGAGGTACAGGCCTCGATGGACAGATATGTTGTGCGACAGAAGTCCAGTGACTCTCAACCTGGTCCTAGTGGCATTAAAAGAAGAAGGGAAGTAACCCCAGAAAAGGACTTGCTACCTCAAGTCCTAATGGAGGGGGATTCCCCTTCTAAACAATAGGTTCGACACTCTCCCCTCCTCCCATCCCATCAATCATCACCAGATCTTCATTAAAGGTAAGTGTCATGTATGTAGTATTCTACTGTTAGTAGAGTACATACTACAAACTGTGCATGTCTTCTTCAGTTTGTGTGCATTAAACTTAATATTTCATGTGGTAAAAGTTTTTTTTTTTTTCATACTTTTGGGTGTCTTGCACGGATTAATTTGATTTCCATTATTTCTTATGGGGAAAATTGATTCGCTTTCCCATATTTTTGGTTTACGATGAGCTCTCAGGAACGGATTAATATCGCGAACCGGGGGTCCACTGTACATACATACTAATAATAATAATACACTGCAGCAGGCCTGTTGGCCCATACTAGGTAGGTCCTTCACAATCCATCCCACTAACATAATATTTGTCCAACTCAATTTTCAATGCTACCCAAGCAATAAGCTTTGATAATTCTATATACTTATGTGCAAGTCCCAGTCACATCGAACCCCTCTCACTCATGTATTTATCCTACACAAATTTGAAACTACCCAAGGTTTTAGCCTCAATAACCATACTAGGCAGATTGTTCCACTCATCAACATAAGAACACAAGAAAGGAGGAACACTGCAACAGGCCTGTTGGCCTATACTTGGCAGGTCCTTCACAAATCCAGCCCACTAACAGAATAAACATACCCAAGTAGTAAGTGTTGACAGTTCTATTTACTCATCTTGACTGTGTGCTAATGGAGTTACAGGAAGCTGGCATCGAAGAAATGCTGAACATTGACAATGATGCACCTGTTGTGCATTCCTTGAGTGATGGTGAAATTAGATAAATTGTGATACATAAATAAGCCGTAGAGTTGATATTAGCATTAAACTGAAGTATTTTGTCACACCTCCTGAGAGCAGGAATTCCACTGAAACAGATTAATGCCATTTCAATTAATTTAAATGAGGAAAATTGACTCAACATACGAACAAATCGAGATACGAACAAGGTCACGGAATGGATTAAATTCGTAAGCCAAGGTTCTACTGTATCTATAAAGAAGCCTAATGGATATTCATTATTTTCAAGAGCTGCATAAAGTAAGTCAAGCAATTTTATAACTGAACTGTTTGTGCTTTTAATTGGCCTGAAACCAACTGGCAGGGGTTGAGTATATTGAGTAAGGCTAGGAAAGTATAGTCTCTTGTGGATTAATTTTTCAAATATTTTGGATAAAAATTACAATTTAGATATAGGTCTATAGTTATTTATGTCAATTGAGTCTCTTCTTTTAAGTACTGGGGTAACCCTTGCTATCTTGAGCATTGTCGGGAATGTCTTGGTTTCTAATGATTTGTTGAACGATACTGCAATGGTGGGTGAAAGCATATGAGCTACTCTTTTGAACAATAGCAGTGGGACATGAGCCAAGTTACCTGATTTGTTTTTCAGTGAATCTATTATCACGGAGACCTCAGTAGGGTTAGGTGGAGCCAGATAGAGGGTGTTTGGAAAACTTCCAGCAAGGTTGTCACTCGCCTGAGCATTGGTACTTGGGATTTTGCTAGAAAGACTTGATCCTATGGTAGAGAAGAAATCATTTAATGTATTGACTGTTGCAGCAGGCTGGATACAAGGTTCATTGGGTTTAGTTAGGGCAATTTCTTTGGTTTTGGTCAGTTTGAGAGAGCCAAGGATTTGTGTGTGTGTGTGTTTCAGGTCTTCTTAATATCACCTTTCATCTCACTAAACCTGCTAGCATAATGGAGTTGTTTAGAGTTCCTCATTAGTGTGGCAAGTATGGATGCATAGCTTCTGGTTTGTTCTTTAGTTACTATTTCCAGTCTGTACTGTTTTTCACAGTTATGCTTTTATCTATGGACCTGAGGATGCTGTGTGTTAGCCATGGGTTAGTCTCTCTGCTGTGATCTGCTTAGTTTTAATAGGACAATGTCTATTTTAGAGGATTTGTATTTTTTGTAGAAAAATACTAACCCACTTGTCGATGCCCCTGTCGTCAGTAAACTCGGTGCCAATCAACATCACTAACTGCTGTAGTGAAGTTATTTAATGTCTCACCATGGAGATGAAAAGAGATCGTATTAGTATTAAGTGGTGTTTACACAAGTCAGTTAAAAGGAAGACTGGGTACTGATAAGTAGTATTGTCTGTGATTATCCCTGCTTTGATGGGAGCGATTATATTAGTCCAGAAGAGGTCAACTGTGGATGGACTCATCTCAGTGATTCTTCTTGGCTTAGTTATAGATGGTATAAGCAAGGAATTATGCATGCTGTTAACCCTTTCATTGTTCAGACTCCTGAAATGAAACTTGCTTTCAATGAATCAATGAAAAAAAAAAGTAAAGAATATTTTTTGGTGTTAATGACACCAAAAGTACAAAATCTGATGGAAAACTCACAAAATTATGCAGGCACAACGTTAGCAGTCTTAGAGCAATTTATGCAACAGCGATTATGCCCACTTTGAGTCCTATTTCAGACTAATTCCAGTGTTCTAGTTGACCAAATTCTTAGCTAGTATTCCTTCCATTCTACTGAATGAGAACAAGGAACTGCCCATTCAACTACCTTATAAAGTGATAGAATTCGGTAATTTCACCAACTTCACACACACAAAAAAATTAAAAACAGAGTTCATAATAAACAGTGTAGACATTCCTGGCACTAAAACATTTCCTCTCTTCATTAGTCATGTCCCCAGTTCTCTCCTATATTACATATGTTTTCCATTTTGAATTCTTCACACAAAAGCAGAATATTTACTCTATTTTTTGGATTATAAAATATAACCAAGAAAGATTGTTCATTGTTCACAGCATTCCAATAAATGAATCAGACCTATTAAAAACCCATAAAATAGACTGAGGGCTGTAGGGATGCCTTACCTGTCATCTAGAATACCAGCAAAAATCAAATATTTCTGTTATTTTGAGCTCAATTTCAAGCTACTTCCAGTCCTGACAGAAATCAAAATCATCTCAATTTCAGTAATATGGCATCCATTCTATCAAGTGATATCAAGTAACAGCCAATAAAACAATAAAAACCATCTGAGAAAACCCCTAAAATTGCTGTTTTAAGCCATACAGATAGTCACAGTTTTGTTTTTCCCATCATGCACCACATGGAGCAGAATATTTTTTATAAGGTGCACAATTACTGCACAGACCCATTCTCTAATATCTATGCCAATCTTTACTGCTCAGAGCCATCTGAGTGAACTGAGCTCATTACGTAGAACTACGTCAGAAACCTTGGCCTCAATGATGTAGATCTACATGACGGACAGCAAAAGGGTTAAGGAAGTCAGCTACCAGAGGACCCTCAGCATGAACAAGGTTAATGTTGAACTCAGCAGCAAGAATTAGGTGGTTTGTTTAAGTACTTATTAGTTATTAGGTTCTTTAAGGTGTCACCAAAGGTGGGAATACAGGAGAGCCCCACATATACAGCTCCCTCTTTGCAGAGTTCCATATTTTTGTTGGCTTTCAACTGAGCCATTGTTTATTATGTTAGGTACTTTTACTGCTTTTCTGCCGTTATCACAGTTTTTGTACAAAAGCTGTGTAAGGGAAGGATGACAGGCACCATATGTTAAGTATTGTATGTAGTGTGTATTTATTTTACTTTTATTTTTTTTTATGCCTAGCTGTATTGAGCGCTTGACCCTTTCACTGTCGGTGCCATAGTACTACGGCTTGCAAGCCAGTGTTCGTGCCATAGTACTACACCAAAATTCTAGAGACTTCAAATCTAGCAGGGGAAAGCTGGTAGACCTACATTTGAAAGAATGGGTCTGCGTGGTCAGTGTGAGCAGTATAAAAAAAAAAAATCGGGGAGGCCAAAGTGCATTGTGGGAGTGCTAATTCAGTATGCCTTGTTCACCCATGCCTAGCGATAAGGAATACCTCACTCCCTGGCAAATTGGGGCTCTTCTCTTCCCAAATGATAGTTCTAGCACAGATTGAAGTGTCAATGAAGATGAATTTCATGGTTTTGAGGAGTTTGTGACCGAAACCAATGCCCAGGATACCTTCCACCTCTGGTACTGGGCCATCCCATTCATGCTCACTTGTATCAAGGCGAAAGAGGAAACTCATATTTTTCCAGGTCTCAAAGAATAAGTAAATAAGTTTGTTCAGGTATACACAAATACAGTTACACAGATCATCATACATAGCAGCATATGTGTAGATTACATAGGATAACCCAAGAAAGTCAGACAAAGTGACTTATTTCCATGGGGGTGGTGAGGAAAACAGCATGGTTGGTGGGGAAGACAGCATGGTTGGCGAAGAAGGCAGCATGGGTGGTGGGGAAGACAGTGTCGGTGGTGGGGAGGGCAGTGTGGGTTTGTGTAAACAATATAGCAGCATATGTGTAGAGAGAGAGAGAGAGAGATTTTGGGAGATGTTAAGTGAATGTATAGGAGCCTTTGAACCAAGTGAGAGAGTAATTGTGGTAGGGGACCTGAATGCTAAAGTAGGAGAAACTTTTAGAGAGGGTGTGGTAGGTAAGTTTGGGGTGCCAGGTGTAAATGATAATGGGAGCCCTTTGATTGAACTTTGTATAGAAAGGGGTTTAGTTATAGGTAATACATATTTTAAGAAAAAGAGGATAAATAAGTATACAAGATATAAATGTAGGGCGAAAATGACAGTATTTTTGTTGGATTATGTATTGGTAGATAAAAAACTGTTGAGTAGACTTCAGGATGTACATGTTTTAGAGGGGCCACAGATACATCAGATCCCCTTTTAGTTGTAGCTACACTGAGAGTAAAAGGTAGATGGGATACAAGGAGAACAGAAGCATCAGGGAAGAGAGAGGTGAAGGTTTATAAACTAAAGAGGAGGCAGTTAGGGTAAGATATAAACAGCTATTGGAGGGTAGATGGGCTAATGAGAGCATAGGCAATGGGTCAAAGAGGTATGGGGTAGGTTTAAAAATGTAGTGTTAGAGTGTTCAGCAGAAGTTTGTGGTTACAGGAAAGTGGGTGCAGGAGGGAAGAGGAGCGATTGGTGCAATGATGATGTAAAGAGAGTAGTAAGGGAGAAAAAGTTAGCATATGAGAAGTTTTTACAAAGTAGAAGTGATGCAAGGAGGGAAGAGTATATGGAGAAAAAGAGAGAGGTTAAAAGAGTGGTGAAGCAATGTAAAAAGAGAGCAAATGAGAGAGTGGGTGAGATGTTATCAACAAATTTTGTTGAAAATAAGAAAAAGTTTTGGAGTGAGATTAACAAGTTAAGGAAGCCTAGAGAACAAATGGATTTGTCAGTTAAAAATAGGAGAGGAGTTATTAAATGGAGAGTTAGAGGTATTGGGAAGATGGAGGGAATATTTTGAGGAATTGTTAAATGTTGATGAAGATAGGGAAGCTGTGATTTCGTGTATAGGGCAAGGAGGAATAACATCTTGTAGGAGTGAGGAAGAGCCAGTTGTGAGTGTGGGGGAAGTTCGTGAGACAGTAGGTAAAATGAAAGGGGGTAAGGCAGCCGGGATTGATGGGATAAAGATAGAAATGTTAAAAGCAGGTGGGGATATAGTTTTGGAGTGGCTGGTGCAATTATTTAATAAATGTATGGAAGAGGGTAAGGTCTTTGCTGATGACATTGTGCTCTTGGGAGATTCTGAAGAGAAGTTGCAGAGATTGGTGGATGAATTTGGTAGGGTGTGCAAAAGAAGAAAATTAAAAGTGAATACAGGAAAGAGTAAGGTTATGAGGATAACAAAAAGATTAGGTGATGAAAGACTGGATATCAGATTGGAGGGAGAGAGTATGGAGGAGGTGAATGTATTCAGATATTTGGTAGTGGACGTGTCAGCGGATGGGTCTATGAAAGATGAGGTGAATCATAGAATTGATCAGGGAAAAAGGGTGAGTGGTGCACTTAGGAGTCTGTGGGAAAAGGGTGAGTGGTGCACTTAGGAGTCTGTGGAGACAAAGAACTTTGTCCTTGGAGGCAAAGAGGGGAATGTATGAGAGTATAGTTTTACCAACGCTCTTATATGGGTGTGAAGCATGGGTGATGAATGTTGCAGCGAGGAGAAGGCTGGAGGCAGTGGAGATGTCATGTCTGAGGGCAATGTGTGGTGTGAATATAATGCAGAGAATTCGTAGTTTGGAAGTTAGGAGGAGGTGCGGGATTACCAAAACTGTTGTCCAGAGGGCTGAGGAAGGGTTGTTGAGGTGGTTCGGACATGTAGAGAGAATGGAGCCAAACAGAGTGACTTCAAGAGTGTATCAGTCTGTAGTGGAAGGAAGGCGGGGTAGGGGTCGGCCTAGGAAAGGTTGGAGAGAGGGGGTAAAGGAGGTTTTGTGTGCAAGGGGCTTGGACTTCCAGCAGGCATGCATGAGCGTGTTTGATAGGAGTGAATGGAGACAAATGGTTTTTAATACTTGATGTGCTGTTGGAGTATGAGCAAAGTAACATTTATGAAGGGGTTCAGGGAAAGCGGCAGGCCGGACTTGAGTCCTGGAGATGGGAAGTACAGTGCCTGCACTCTGAAGGAGGGGTGTTAATGTTGCAGTTTAAAAACTGTAGTGTAAAGCACCCTTCTGGCAAGACAGTGATGGAGTGAATGATGGTGAAAGTTTTTCTTTTTCGGGCCACCCTGCCTTGGTGGGAATCTGCCAGTGTGATAATAAAAAAAATAAAAAATGCGTAGAGTACCTAGGATAACCCAAAAAAAAAGTCAAGGTGACTTATTTCCATGTGGGTGGTGGGGAAGACAGCATGGTTGGTGGGGAAGACAGCATGGTTGGCAGAGAAGGCAGCATGGGTGATGGGAAGGGCAGTGTGGGTGATGGGGAAGGCAGCGTGGGTGTAAACATGCTTTGTAAACAATATAATAACAATATTTGTGTGGTTAGTGTGTTGCATATAATGAGTGAATATATATACATTATGCATTATAGTGGTCTCACAGGCCACAAAAGTTACTTCAAAAAATAAAATATTAGAAAAGAAAAATAGAATAAAAGTAAAAATAATATTACCAAGTGAGCGGCAGTCACCAATGTTGCTGTAAGTGGTTCACTTTTTGTCAACTTCATGCCTCTATATCTCGGTAACTACTGATTGCAAAATTTTTTTCTTTTAACCCCTTAACTGTCCAAACGCAGATCTATGTTCATACCGCTAGCGCTCCAAACGTAGATCTACATTTTATTTTTCCTGCCTCCAAATTTGGCCTAAGATGCTTAGTCAGCAAAGAATGGGTCTTAACCCTCGGTATGTGCTGTATTAAAAAATCTGGGACCATTTA